AAAAAAAAAAAGCAAAGCATCGCTGGTGCCCGGGACGGGGCTGCAGGGAGGCTCAGGGGCGGGGATTCCTCCTCGCGCCTGGCGTTTCCCGTTGTTGGCACCAGCAGCACCCCTGGTCATGATGCGGGAACTGGATGCGCACTAGCAGCCGCGGCGGGGAAGCCTCCAGAAAGGAATTTCCCAGCAGGCGCCTCACGCAATCCCAGTCCCATCCCCAGGCTCTGGAGACTGCCCAACGTTGTCCCTTCTTGGAGATTCAAAATTCACATGTGCTGGACTCCAAGACGCCAATGCAATGCAATGATTTCGCCAACCGCGCCCACAGCTATCTGATAACAAAAGCCCCGCATTCCTGTGTGTCACCACTGAGCTCCAAGACTATGTAAACCCACCCGCCTGTCAAGGTGAAGGTCATTGACCCAGAGGTTCAATAGCCTTCCCTGGGAGGCCAGGAGGCCACAGGGCTGGAGAGCCCCAGGGCCCACATGCCAACTAACTGCCCACCCCTCTCGGGCTACATGCATTTTTTTCTTCCCTTTTCATGGAATCCCCATTTAGAAGCATTTACGCTTCTGCTTCTCCAGTTCTTATTCCTCCCAGGTCATCACCAGGTTCGGGACACTGTCCACTGGACTCATTACTGCTGCAGTGGTTAAGCTATTCTCCCATCCAGGGGGTTTCCAAGGGGAAAAGGGGACACCCGGGGCCACGTCCACTCGTCTAGGCATCTCCGTGGCCCCTGCTGATGCAAACATCCCACGGGGTCCCCGCCGGCGACGAGTGTGCCACTTAACTTCAGGGCCTAAGAGTGAGCTGTGGGCAGCCCACCAGGCTCGCCCAGAGGCCGTCCGGGCGAGGAGACTTACCAACCGCTGAAAACAGAGACATACAAATGAGGAGCAGGACACACCAGAGCACGTCACAGTTCATCTGCCTCTCCAGCTGGCTGCGCTTGTAGCGAGGCCCACTGTTGTTCAGCAGCGCCTTGGTTTCGTGTCCTGTGGGGGGGG